GCGACTCAAAGAAGCCTCTAGTCCAGACCATCAGCAAGGTGGTCACTATGAAGCCATAGAACCAACCAAACATATAGGTCCAGCATAGGAGACGGAAATGCAGGAAAATTCCTACCTAACCTCGGTCAGGTGGAGAGCTGGCGGTTATAGGGGAACTAGGAGCTAAGGGCAGATGTAAGACTCCCGAAGTAAACGAGTAGATACTCAAGTATCACTCTTATCCGGACGAAAGCGCTGATGCCTTGTCTGGATCCCATCCCTAGGTCTTTCCTACCTCCCTTTGAACCGCGATTCCTTCTAACCCTACCCGCAGGCAGGGGAGGAGCGCGAGCCGCGACACTAGCCTTCTGTGGCCGTCTCTGATCCTCAGACCGAGACGGACCAGGACCCCTATGCTGTTCGGGCTTAGACCTGGACCATCGTGAAATGAAGGACTGAAGGTTGCTGAGCGCGCCTTTGCCTCCCTTAACTTCTCGACCACCGTCTCAATGGAGGTAACCAAAAATATTCGGAAGGCGAAACCGGCGCATCGAGAAGAAAGCCCCTCTCTTCCATCCCAATATCTGCCAGGTTCACCCACAGATGTCTCTCAATACCTACTATAGCTGCCATGCTTAGTAGCACAGAGAGTGAGATCTGTGGTGCGGTGAAACTCAGCTACCTCATCAGGCCTTTATCCAGGTCTTCCAGCAGGTCAGCCTAATATGCCTGGAGCACCGCATTGTGCGCAACGAAGCAACAGTCTGACCTGCGGCTGCGTATGCCCTGCCATCTAAGCGAGATGGCAAGGAGGGAGTTTTACAGTTTTTCTCAATTGCTTTGGCACATTTTTCGAAACAATCTTACCATTAGGGCCTTTTGCACCGCAGGAACCTTTTCATAGTGCCCACTTTTCGGCGTGTTCGCACCGCCGGAACTGGGAGCGATTTTAGTACCGGACTGCCTTTTTCGAGAACCAAATTAGCTTCTACTCGGGAGCAGGGTCTAACCAGCACAACTGGTACTACCCGTGATGCAAGTAGACATTGATTGGCCAAACGTGTATGAAAACACCCTCACCCGCCATGATTTAAAACACTGTGTAAACACACTGTAAACATTGTGTCAACTTATTTCGCAAATATGGAGAATAGCGATAGATGGACGGACGCTGAAGTGCAGGCACCTGTAGCAAACTGATGTGAACAAGAAGCTAATTGTTCAGAGATCTGAACTTATTGTTGCGGGAAAAAAAAGTTTCATTCGAGAATTGAGCCAATGCAATTGAGAAAAACTGTAAGAGAGGACGTCTCACCCATAGAAAGATAGCTAGCCAGTCGTCTTTTTTACAGGGGCATCCTCTCATAGTAGTTTCCGTGCATCGCCTCGATGTTGGCATAACTCGTATGCTAGAATCGATGAATGCGTAAGAAAGATAACGCTCAAAACTCACCATACGCAGAGCAGGAGGATTGCGAAGGCTCAGCCTCAGCTTCTTCGCCGTCCTCAGACATCTCCTGCTCTTACCGGGCCGAACCCAGCATAGCACCGGCCCCCAGATCAAACAATGTTAAAGAAATAACATCATCCTCCAGCAGCTTACTCTCGTCCACAGCACACGAGTGCGAGAGGGGCTCCTTTTTTAAACTCATGAGCCGGATCCACCTGCGATCCCCACGAGCCCATCCTCCTCCCTTTGCCGTCCTCAGACATCTACTGCTCTTACTGGGCCGAACCCAGCAGAGCACCGGCCCCCGGATCAAACGACGTTA